TAAATTACCTGGCTACTCAGGAATAGAGAGGTCACATGTGGCTGAAGTGGTGACTTTTTACTCCTGGAACTGGAGGGTTTTACGTTGTTTTAAGGGAGTGGACTAACTCTGCATGTTGATTTGGGGTTTGTGGCAGAGCCCGGGATCTACTTCTCTGAACATCACACAAATGGGGGCCCTCTTGCTGGGGCCTGGGCCCTTCTGTTCCCACCTGGCCGAGGGACTTTCCTCATAAACACGTCACTGCTGCATGCTGGGTCTATCATGGGGAGACACTCGGGAGGAAGGAAATGCTGCCCTGATTGCACTGTCTGGAGCCCATCGAAGGAGACAAATCTCCCCTTGGTGTGGCCCTTTCTGGAGGCCAGAAATTGGCAGAAAGAGAGAGAGCTCAGTGAAGGTCATGTAGCTGGCATCTGGCTGGTGAGGGGGGCAGCAGCTAGAACCCAGGGCAGCCTGCGCTGCTGTGAGGAGGCCCTGCACCTTAGTGCCTCTGGGGCCAGGAGTCCCCCTCCCCCTCAAGGGAGGACGACAGCCCTTCCCCGCACGCCCTGCTGTGCGGACAGGACGGGCCACAGCTGAGCTGAGGGGATCAGCCACCCCCAGGCACGCGCCCACCCTGCCTGGCCCCGTCTGTCACTTTGGACCATGTCACAGGCTGTGCACTGGCATCCCTGGGAGGCAGCGGTGTGTGTGTCCGTGCCATGTGGCGCTGTGCACGCAGCCACCCAGGGTTTCTCCTGGGACTGCAGCACCTGAGTGTGTCTGGGCCACCCAGCTGTTCTTCCGAGCTGGACTCGGGGCAGCAGGCTGGGGAATCAGGTGGGAGCCCGGCCGTTCTCCCTCAGCGTGTTCTCAGAAGGGCTTTCAGCTGCTTGTTCTCTGAGCCGGTGAATGTGGCCGCAGAACTTTCTGTGTACCCTGATAGCTCTCATCTGATACAGGGGCCTGGATTTGGTTTCATGTTGGACTCAGATGCCTGAGCTGGACTGTGAAACCAGTTTTCTCCAGAATTACCAGTTTCTCAGTAACTTCAGTGTTTAACCATGAAGTCGTGTGAGTTCTAAAATTCAGAATGATGAGAAAGTAAACTAAGCCATCCAGCCATGCCTTTCATTAATCATAATTGAAACCTTAGCCTGGCCGTGTTTCCATGTTTCCATGGTCCTACGATGACGGCCATTTCCATGCCCTTCAGGAGAGACAGGACAGTGGTGGCTTCTCCTCAAGCCGCCCCTCACCAGGCCACTCCAGACAGCTTCGAGACACATCTCTTGGTGTCCTCACAGCCCGTGCTGGCCCAAGGTCCCGAGTGTCCAGACTGTTCTGGAGTTGTGGGGCCGTGGCAGAGGGCATGGCCTGGCCTGGCTCACCCGTGGCCCCATCCACGTTCTCCCATCCACACAGGGACCCATGTCATCACAGGTGACTACGGGAGGGCAGCACTTTCCAGCTGCCACCAGCAGCCGTCTGCCCAGAGCCCCATGCCGCACGGCCCCCATGCTGCCACCGGGTGTGGCAGAGCATTTTCCTGATGAGAAATTGGCACACCTGGCCTAACAAAGACTTTTTTCTTTTTCCTTTTCCTTGACCTATGACTTTAAATACCTTTAAGTATACACATGAAATTACTTTTATTAAAATATTAAAATTACATGGACGTGGACAAGTGTGGTTCCGTGGCCTGAGCTAACTGGAGCTTCACTCCCTTTCTTCTCACTAATCGCCCCCTCTCACTAGGTTGTGTTTCAGAGATGTTTTGGGGTATTTCCTCGCCCACACTATTGAAATGTGTGTCACCTGTCACCATTCAGTCTCGTGGCTTTTCCCTGCTCTGGTTACGGGAGCTGCCTCTCTGGGGCGCAGGGACACCACAGACATACCCTCCAGTGGAGAAAGGAGACGCATGGATCTGTTTTATCTGGAATTGCACACTGGCAGTGAGAGTTTTATATTTGAGCAAGAATAGAACATGCAAATGACATTAGATCTTGGTCTTTAACTTGACATTTTGTTTAAAATTTTAAGATTACAATTTGTGAGATTAAGTTTGAAGGACGGTACTTCATAGAGTTTAACTTGGTCAGATAACGATCTGTTTTATTATCAAAAAAGATGAAGTCTGGCAAGTTGAACTGTTTTACAGAGCTTTCCATGATGTCACACCCGTGTTTTGTGTGGCAGACGTGGGTCTCGGACTTGAGGCCGGCAGGGCCCGGCCGCTCTGCACACTTGGTCAGACGCTTCCACTTAACTCTCCAGCAGGAAGCATTTGGTAACTTAGGGATGGCCTTCACTTTCTCTGTAGTATCTCATAAATTTTCTTCATGGAACATGAAGGACTATTTTTGCATATGAGGTATAGCTAAAAGAAAAGAATGGTTTTTCATTGTTTTGTGCAGAAATTTACTTTCTCATACCTGTAGCCTAACTTCTTGGATACTCCACGGAGTTTTATAGCACATCTTATTTGTCTTCGTTTCTTTGGTCTGTCACTTTGTCCCTGCATCTAATCCCAGCCTGTCATCCATCCTGTCATTCCCCTGTCCCTGGAGGTGTCTGAGTTTGTCACGCCTTCCCGGGAAAGTGGGTTGTGCAGGGGCTCTGCCTTCGCAAGAGGAAAGCTTCCGTCACGCCTCCCTGGACACTGCTTGCGCTGGCAGCCTAGGACTTGTTCCACCTCAGTACCATGTCCCCGTCCTCTGGAGTCCTCGGGCCCCTGCCAGGAGGTGGCCTCACGGGCTGGAAGAGCAGGGTGCACCGGCTGGAAGAGCAGGGTGCGCAGGCAGGCGCCCCTGCCCATCCCGGTGCTGGTCCCGATGCCTTCCCTGTGAGCTGCCTCATCCTGCTGTGGTCCCGCGGGACGCGCCTGGCCTGGGCTCAGGGACCCCAGAGACCCTCCTGAAATCCTGCCGCCCCACGCTGCGCACACACGCCGGGGACGGGATGGGACGGACCCCGTGGCCGCGCTGCTCGAGCTTGTGCTGCCCGCCAGGAGTCGACCGCAGCCCCTGGGTGCTCATCCGCCGAGCAAAGTCCCTCCAGCTTCCTCCGCGGAGGCTGCCCGGTGGGAGGAGCGTCGGCTCAGATCAGCTCGCAGGGCGGTGGTGGCCAGCAGGTGCGGCGCTCAGGTGTGGACGGTGGGTCCACACGCCCAGCGTGGCCTGGCGTCTGAGGGGCGGTGTTGCCCAGGAATGCGGCGCTGTTGGCCGAGATGGGAGATGAGGACAGGCGGGCAGGAGGCCGCCCCGCCCTGCTCAGCGGGCTGCGGATGGATGCGGGTGGGTTGCTGGGGCTGCCCAGCAGGCCGCTGGGGCTCAGGGTCTGAGGCAGGCGGAGAAACCCAGAGGGCGAAAGAGCGAATTTCCCTCAGACGCGTTTCTGCACCTTGCGGAGGAGGTGTTTCCGTGTCTCAGGTGCGGGAGGGGAGGGGGGATTGCTGTGGCTACTTGGCAAAAGCAGCGGCGGCCCAGGCCCTGCAGCCCAACCTGGAAGAGGGCGTGCGTGTGGCTGGAGTTGAGGCCCTGGGGAATCGCGCTGGAAGACGCTTCTCTGGCGCCTCCATCTGCTGGGTTGTCCTGCTCAGTCCGGCCCTGCTCCCGCGTGTTCCGGGAGGGCGGCCGCGGCTCGCCGGGCTCGCGTCCACGGGCGGCTCCGGGGCCTGAGGGAGGAGTGGCGGCCCCGCCAGCCCAGGCGCAGCGCTCGCGGCGGGCTGCACGCCGAGCCGCTCTCCGCAGCGCTCGCAGGCAGCGCCGCCCTGCGCGGCGGGAGCCCCGACGCGGTCGCTGGCGCCTCCCGGGCCGGCGCAGGGCGGCCACAGACGAGCCCTGACGCCCGGAAGGCCAAATGCCAGCGGGCTCTGACCGCTGTGGGGGAAGAGCGCTCAGCTCCGCGCAGGAACGTGAGTCCCTCCTGAAGGACAATCCAGGAAAGTGTGTGTGGGAGAGACTGAAAAACCGTGAGTGAAAATTTCGTTACTGTTGACGAAGCTGACGTGAGTGGAGGAGGAGTCCACGGACACGCAGGACACAGATGGGACCGTGGGCCCCGGGCAGCGATGCCGGTCCGGTGACAGCAGCGCACGCGGGCCTGTGGAGGGACATCGGATGCTGCTTCGCACGTGGGGGAGCCGGAGCTGCGGGAGACACGGGTGCGGAGGCGTGAAGACCGTGCGCTCTCCCAGGGCTCTGCAGGGGACGGTCTCCTGTCCGGGACGCTGGCCCGTGGATGGGAAGCGGCGAGCCCTGATACATCCCACAACTGTACCCCGCAGCGCGCTGGGCGTCACGCCCCTTCCCTCCCAGATGGCGCAGCTTTGCATCGCGCTTCTGGAAATAGTTACGCCGGCCACTTCCCCTTTTGACATGCGCACTCGCTGTTCATTTCTAGGAAGTTTTCCCCTCTCATTTGTAGGTTATTCCTCTCCAGGGACACCTGTGTGAAGCTCATTAACTAGAAACTATTTCTCACATCTTATTCCCAGTGATTTCAATGGAAACACTGGGTAGTGACTTAAATCCCAATAATTCTCCTTTTGTTGGGATGTCAGAAATGGAATCCCAGGGGAACCACCTGCCAGGGCCTTCACGTGGCAGGTGGACTAAATGTCGAAAGGAAAGGATTTGGGGGAAGCCCCTCCGGGTGACCTCTGATGAGAATAACCTCTCAAGGGTCAGTCCCTCAGCTTAAGGAGACCTTGTTCTTTTATGGGCAGCTTCATCTGATTGTGTCATCATCACAACCTGTTAGGTAAGATATGGTTACGACTAGTCTCTTACTAAGTTTGGATCCCTCAGCAGCACTGATAAGCTGACACACCTCTGCTGTGTGACACCTGAGGTCACTAATGGCCAACAGGAGTGTGTGCAGACATAGCGGGGTCAGAGGTGAGCTCCGCCAATTATTTTTTCTAAATTTTAGCTCTGCAGTTACTGGAAGAGAAAACTGAGATCTATTGAGTCACAAAATCAAATTTGACATTTTTCTCAACCTTTTATTAGGTACAGGGAGCAAGTTTCCGAGGGTGGAAAGAAGTGACTTCTCTCTTCAATAAAGACGACCAGCAGCGGCTCCTGGAAAGACACGAGTCTCCCAAGTCCAAAGGGTGAGTCTGGTCACGGCAGGGAAGGAAGGGGGATTATGAATTGCCGAGAAGGGTGGAAGTGGAGATTTCGTTGCTAGTTTAAGGAAATAAGGAAAAGCACTGTAAGGATCGGTAGGTAAACCGTAAAAGATTTTAGAAAATAAATAGATGTAAACTGACATTGGAAGTTTAAAAAGTGCATTTACAGTTGCAAATCTGAATTCAGTGACTGCCTGAGGGTGTTACCATGGCTCATTTGCTCGATGGTGTGATGAGTCGCTGGATTAGAAGGTGACACTTGGTGAGCCCATGAGGACGGATGTGCTTTTGTTTGAGGACCGCGGGGCCCCGTCCGAGACCTGCACTTCCCTGCCTGGCCCACGCCAGGACTTTCCTCGAATTCCGTCTGTAGGGACGCTGCAAATGCCCAGCTGTCAGGCGACCTGCTGCTGTCTGGTGTGCTCCAGCATGGCCCGCGCCTCGGCCGCCTGCTCCTCTCTGTGGCCCCGGCACTCTGGGTTCTTAGCTTTATTGAGCAAATTGCCCGCTAGATTCCTGAGATGAGCTTGCTACATGAATAACCCTGTTGAAAACCTGTTTGACAAATGGAATAGTTTTTCCTTCTTGTTTCTTAACCCAGACCCCGGACTTCTCTGAGTGTGTTCTACTCAGAGGGCCGGCACTTGCCTCCTGGGGCCCTGACAAGCTCTTTTGTGACGACACTTTTGTCTCTCGTCTGAGAACCAGCTCTTCGGTTATGGATTGCCAAGGGGTGTCCTAAATTGTGGTTTTTACGTGCTTCATTTACATGTAGTGACTAATTTTTCCTTATTAACCTTAATATTTAAAACCTTACACATAGATTTTTGTTAGATTTTTAAACAACTTAAAATCCTTTTTAGAAAGAACTTTATAAAATCGACACAACCGGAGACCTTAAGGTCACGGGCTCACCAACACTTCACTCTTTCATCTCCTATAGCACTAACGTACGATTAAAGGAAGAACTGAAGACAGAGAAGAAATCTGGATTTTGGGACAATTTGGTTTTAAAACAGAACATACAGCCTAAAAAGCCAGATGAGATTGAAGGTTGGGAGCCTCCGAAACTCGCTCTGGAAGATGTGTCGGCTGACCTGGAGGACGCCACGGGCGGCCCCTTGTCCCGGCCGGGCTGGGAGGAGGGTGCCAAGGGCTCAGCCAAGTACACCACCCTGGCCGACGCAGCCACCAGCTCCCGGTGGAGCCTCCGGTCAGCCGGCAGGCTGGTGAGCATCCGCCGGCAGAGCAGGGGGCGGCTGACGGACAGCCGGGAGGAGGCAGAGTGATCAGGTGACAGCCACCACCTCACGGCACTTGCGGGAGTTTGCTGCGTTGTGGTTTCTTACTAGTATGCGTTAAGTTGTTGAGTCCTTCCCATACTAGGAAGCGTGGGTCGTCTACCTTTTGCCTGCATCTCACACTCCTGTTTTTGCTGACTGGTGAGCTCGTACCCACTGTGGTCCCCTGCTGTGGGGACGTCCACCCGCCACAGGCACCTTCTGCAGACACTAGGTATGGGTCTCTGATGCTGTCCTGTAGGACAACACAAAACTTGAGGTTTTTATGCTATCCTCAGCTGTAGTTCTCTGTGTCAGAGTCTCTGCCTTCCTCTTGCATGTAACACACATGTAACCATCTCATGTGTCACGGACCATCCATGTCACAACACACGGGGATGTATCAGTTGTGCAAGTCTTTTTTTTTTTTTTTGCCAGAGAATTACAATCTAGGAGGTAAGATGATCCTTCCAAAGGTTATGTTAAATTTTGTTTAACTTGGCAAATTGAACTTTTTGTATTAAATTTAAAAATATCTAAACAAATAGTGGAATGGCAAAAGTTATATTTGAGCATAAAATGTCAGTATCTTAAAATACGGTTCATCTCTTGCTGAGGGAGGAGTAGCCTCTTGCGTGCACATTGGATGGTAACAGTGGCTTTTGAAGGATTTTATTTTTACTTTTCCTGACCTTTTAAATATTTATCTTCATTTTCTTCAAAAAATCTACTCTTTTTGTTTACAGATTAGCGAAGTGTGGATAAATTTTTGTCACTTGATAATCTTGTTTGGAAAACATGAACTTGCTCATTATAGAGTTAAATTGTACATAAAATACCAAGTGCCTCTTTTCTATTGTCCCCATGTGTTTGGTTTTTCAAGTGAGAAATCACTTATTGTGATTGATGTGAAATCCATAGGAAGTGGTTTCCCCCACAAGAATAACTTAAACCGCTAATCTGAGAGCATCTCTTGTTCCTTTTCTGTCTGCTCTGCCTCTCGTCCTCACCAGTGCAAGCCAATGTGGCGTCAGGCACCAACCACGTCTCCTTGGCAGAGTGGCTCGTGTCAGCGGATCGACATCTTACCTTAGGTAACAGTGATCTGAAAGAAAAGATGTATTTTTCTTTGTTTTAGTTAAAAACAAAGCAAGAACCTTCAGTTACACGGTGCATTCCCGTCATGTTAAAAACACACATACACCCCAAAACCAAAAACTCTGTGCTCAAGTTGTTCCGTGTGCACTTCCATGCTGTCTCATGCACGTGGACGTTCCACTCGACGCTCCTGTGGGGTGATAGCGTGCTGGTGGCAGACATGCTGTGGTGTAGCAGCCTGTCTGTGTTTAACAGAACGAGTTCCTCTGATCTGCCCCGTGTCCCATCTGTGCATCAATCCATCGTCCACATCCACGTCTGTCCTCCACGTGCAGCCGCGGGCGTCTGCGCCCGTCCGTCTGCCATGTCTGTGTGCATCCGTCCATCCGTCTCTTTGTGATAGAACAAGTTTACTTATTGAGCCTTGAAGGGGGACGTGCTTTAAGCAGTAATTTCAGTTTGTATTAGAACCCTGAAATTGTGCAGGTTTTCTTTGTTTCACAATGCAGAGGAAAGTCTATAATTTTTGACATGATAGCAAAACTGAAGATTCCTAAGTTTCCTCAGGTAAATAGCTGGGAGTGTGGACTGAAACTCTTAAGCTCATCTCCCTGAAGAAGTGCCTGGGGGCGGCACAGACACGCACCATGCCATGACTATGCAAATGTCCGGCCGCAGGGGTCGGTCCAGGCTGGTCTTTGGCTGGCACCATCCTGTCACGCAGGAACGAAACGCTATGAGAGACGCGTGGGGTGGGGAGGGCTGTGGTTCTGGCCTCTGTCGGGATGCTAAGTGCCTGCCACTCACCTCAGTCGTGTAACTGTGATGCGCAGTTAGCAAAATAGCTCTTTTGCTGCTGTTCTCAAAATGTGAAGACAAAGCCAGACTGGGGTTGGAATATGCACTGTAAATGAAACTTTTCTTACCCTCAAAGACGAATGTAAAAATTAGTTTTTTCTTCTGTTATATCTGATTAAATTGAAATAACTATATTTGTGGTTTTTAATGTAAATATTTATTGGGGCTTTGGGAGACAATTATCTTTTCCTGAAAGAACTTACCAAAGCAAATTTGCTGTCTCCACAAGTTAACGGGGTTGGGTTGTGTGAACCACAACTTCCCTGTGTGGGGAGAGTGGCCTGTGCTCTTCCTACTGCATTTTATTATTTCTTAATAGGAAAGCAACTGGCTTCAGAGAAGGTAAGGTTCCTCCTCCTTAATATTGAGATTTTTAAGAGAATAAAAATACTGTTCTAACCTCTTTCATTATTGGTTTGCACAACCATTAGCATCTGCTTACAATGGCTTTAGTCACTTAGAGCTGATGGCACTTTTTCTGACCTTTTAAACCTCATTTTAAAATGCAATTAATACATGTACTTTTCCATAAATAAATGAACAGTCTCATCCTATGTTTTTGAGATGTATCTTTTGGGTAACTGCACTGCGCACTGCACCATCCGTGAGCGCCTGACGCTCGGGCTGGGAGGCGGCAGCGCGGCCCCCGCCTGTCTGCTCTGGTCCCTCCGTCTCTCTCAGGCGTCGGGTCTCATGTGCGTTTCACCCCAGTGTCCAGCTGAGACACGAGTACACTTCTGTAGTACGTCTTACCACAGCATTTTCATTTTACAAAGAGGACTGTCACTTAGAAACAGGTCTTTCTGGAAAGCAGTGGCCTGTTCTGAGAGGACGTTAACTTCCCTAAGGAGCCCGGATGCCAGGCATGGAGCCCATACGTCGTGTGGTTCCTGGGTGTGCCGTGGTGGGAGGTGGTGTGGAGCCGGGTCCCTCTGGGCAGTGGCACTGCTGCTCCTGGCTGCTCCTCAGGGCCGCACCGGTGCGCTGGGCACTCACGGATCTCCCACCGCCCTCCTGCTGGCCTCAGACGCCTCTCACCTGCCCACAGCTCTGACCCACCTCCCCTTCCTCTCTGTCCCATGCAGACCCTGGGACCCTGTCTCAGGCCACTCGTGGACCTGGCTGTCATTGTAGGCGAGGGAACTGTGCCTGTCCACTCTCCCCCAAATTACTTTTAGCCAATTATGCATTTTCTGGTTTTCCTGGTAATTATTCAATTGATGTTTGAACAACCAAAGACTAGCACTATTCAGTCAGCTTTGAAGAGAAACTGCCAAGACAGTTTTTCCAACTCTGAGATCACTGTTTAAAGTGATGCTCACAGTAGTGCACAGGTGGTTTAAAGGCGAACGAATACCTGAGCGCTTGCTGCTGCAGTTTCTTTCCTTTTTGGTAGAAAAAATGATTTTAGCCCGATTGGTGGGAGGCAGCAGCATGCTCTGAACAGGCCTCGCGGCGGAAATCCCACGCTGCTGAGACCACGGCGGCCCTGGCATGATTCCTCCGGAATGATCTGCTGCTTCACGTAGAAGTGTCTCTGGCTGGCGTGCCCTGCAACGTGAGCACATGTGGGCAGGTCTAAGCTGCAGTCGTGAGTGAGTCTCTGCCTGGCCCGCTGATCTGCAATCCCAAACTGTTGCTTATAATCGTGGATTTGAGTCCTGGCAATGAGTGCTCAGTCAGATTAGATCAGGTTTCAGTGACGGGGCATATTCTGGCTCCTCACACCCTTCCCAAGCCACACCTCGCCGCACGGCCATCGGGGAAGCTGCAAGTGCAGCCCACGACCCACCTGTTACAGGGAAAAGCTGTGCTGTTACCCGAGAGCCTCGACGGCCTGCTTCACAGAAGAATCGGGTGAAATGGCCTATTTCAGCTGATAGCAAGGCAGCAACAAACTCGCTTTGTCAGTAGTTGAGAAATGTCCAGTTTCTGCTGAGACGACCTTTTGGTGTGTGAGCGAGTGTGAGCTGTTACGTAGTAAACAGTGGAGATGGTGCTCAGCGGGCCCTTCCACAAGGCTCTGGCCTGCAGAGCCAGCCCGAGAGGGCTCCCATGGCCGACCCCCAGCTGTTTTCTGTTTATAGAGTGGGTTGTGCGCAGAGGGCTCCGCAGAGGTGGTGGTGAGGCTGTTGGTGATGCTGTAAGATACTGAACGCTTCTGGGTTTTCCTCATCTTAAAAGTTAGTCCTGAACACCCACAGCCAGCAGCTCTTGCTGTTGTGGGTGGCCCAGGCCTTCGCCTTGGAATCAAGGTTCCCTAGCTGGTCTGTCCTAAGGTGACAAGAATGTCCACACTGCCGGGGAGACAGGACGACAGGTCTTCGTGGAGGGTGGATGGGGATATTCTAGCGGTTTGGCCTGTGGGCAGCCTGGCTCCACGCCTTCACTGGGCACTCTGCACTGCTGGGCTGTGACCTGGGCTCTGTGAGTTCCCATGGTGAGTAGCTCACCCTGTCCTCAGGGTCAACTTAATGTGCCTTCTGCAGAAGGGGCCTCCATAGGACCCGGTGCTCACAAATGCGCTTGTAACAACTTGTTTCCCTCTTCTCCACAGCTGAGGAGGCTGGGTTTCCACGGCATGGCGGGCAGGTCACGCAGGAAAGGTGTGCAAATCCCAGGCTGGCCACAGGCGGCTTCAGGTGCCACCCGCCCCGCCGGTCAGTCTTGCAGGAGCCCTGGACTCAGGTTTTATGTCCCTGTTGTCAACAGCCTGTAGATTTGTTTATCCATCGTCAGTACCCTGTACTTTTATTTCTCTGCTGACTCCTGAGAACATGGGATTTATCGATACGTTTATTATAAAAGCCATATATCTTCTTAACAGTCTGAAGTTTTAGAAACACAGGATCGTCCAGTGTAGCAGGTCAGCACATGGGCTGCTGTCACACGGTCACTGTTACCCCGTGGAGAGGACACGTCCCTACAGGAGCCGAGGGGCCCTTGGTGCTTCCTAAACTGAGGAGGACGGTGGCCGGCACGTGCTGAGCGCG